TCCGATGATATTCACGTGCCTGTAGAGCATTTTCTAGTCGTCTTTCACCACCGCCTACTTCAACTTCTGCCCTTTGAGGTCCATCCATTATTGGCTACCCTCCGTCAGTTACTTTTACGAGGAACCGACACTCAGTTCTTTGTCGTCTCGGAGTCATGCAATGCCGCCAACTATGTCGAACTCCATTTATGGCGAAGGGACCACTTTGCGACCCAAAGTTGTTTCGTCTTGCTGCTACCAAAATCAAGAGCCTTGGAAGCGAAATCTACGATGCCCTCTTTAAGAAGGTTATAATGCTGTTCTTGGTGTTTCAACGTCGTGACGTCGTACATGGCATCGACGAATTTTCTGCTGAATCACAACAAGAACGGCTGGTGAGCAACGGGATCCTTCAACTCCTCTGCACCAAAGCTGGCCTTCCGCATTTTTCAGAATGTCGGTGGAGACTCTTCACCACTAGGAAATAGACAGGTAGAATGTCCCCACTTTGTTGCAGCCGAGTATCGTGTAGCAGACATATTTGTTTCATGAAACGAAGCCAGGCGCCGGTTAATATTATAAACCTTTATGAACTGTAAATATGAAGAGTTGTAATAGACCTCATGGACGTTACGATTCTGCTTTATGATTGTTGAGATTTTAAATAAGTTTCGTCTACAAGAAAAGATGTCATCATAAATATCACCTGCATTTTGCTTCCAATGCTGAATGAACGCGTCTTCGTAACCTTTTCAGACACTTCTGGTTTCCGCGAAGATGGTTATTAAGAATGATATCACAGCCATCTTTTGTTCATGACACTGCCTGTGTATTAATTGCCGGCATTCTAGCAACTAGAGATTCTGTGTAGTTTCATATGGATTTCGTTTGTGACTTTTTAAGCTTAAAAGCAAGGAAAACAAAGTTTGGTACTGTGGTTAAATAATTCCTGCAAAAAATAATCATTGCTTGTTTTCAGGGCGATGACGGTGCTCCGTTGCTCTGCGTTGAGACTGATTTTGCAGCCGAGTTACCCCAGTTATCTGGAATATTGACAGACCCGATGGTTTTCCGTGATCGAGAACGCGCCATGTTCGTGAATCTGTTTGCTTTCCAAAGTTGGATCGAATCCGCAGCTCTGCTTCTAAAGGTATGCGACAGAAGATATCGGTATAGAATGGATTTTGATGAAGTGGTTCGCGCGATACCTGATTAATTCTTCGGCAAGCTTTGCGAACAGTCGCTCGTTTCTCGGGGTCTTTGATGTAATGTGCGTTTCTTATTGTTTTCAGTAAAACGGTTCCCAGTTCCGTACATAATCGATGACGTGGAGGGGATATCAACACTCTGGGATACTTTGGTGTTTTGTGTTTTGGAAGTGACAATTCGTTGGTGCAACCAATCGAGAAACGGGACAGCAAGTCACTGGCTTATGAATAAAACAGACAACGTTATGTTTTGGATGGGTGATGAGATGTTAGTCATATTTTAATCATTTAATCATTTCATTTGGGGACAAATTCGGTCACGAATAAAATGTTGCTTTCTTAAAATTTCAATGACGTGACGTAAAACACGGATGCACCATAAAATATATGATGATTGTTAAGAGCGCCAATGTATATGCTCTAGATACTGCACCTGACTGTCACTTCTGATACCGAGACTGATTGCAGAGCACCGAATGCCGTTGGTTGTTTCTGTTGAGCATTCGTGCGCAAATCGATGAACTACCTAGCTGCCAGGACAGTCACCAGCACCAGTGCTGTCAGCATTTGTGAACGCGTCGTAAATGGTTAGAAGCTTACAGTATGCAGATGTCGCCGAGGAGCGGAGTTAGCGGCCTACTGTCAGTGTTTTGGCGTCGAATTTGAGTCGCTGTGCAAACAGTCTGGTTTCAACTGTACCCCTGATTGTACTTTCTCGGGAGTCCAGCGGGTTCGACAGATGAGGCTCGTTCGTTGAACGCAATTTTGACAAGCGTATGCATTGCGTAATGCGAATGCCTCCAGAAATGAAGGGGAAAGAACTGCTACCTGTCCAATTCCCAGATGATGGGCAGACGATCCAAGGGACGGCCGAGATTAACCTGGTGCAGATATATGGAAGGAGTCTGTTCCAGACTCCAGTTGTCTTCTGCCGGAAGCTCAGACTCTGGTGCAGGAACGGGAACGTTGGAAGTATTGTCTGATGCCTCTGCCTGCGCGACCTGAAAGATAAAGCGGTTATGGAATATGGCGATGACTGTAAATTCTGGTTTTAATCAGCCACTTATGCTACGGAATCGTAATGACACTCTGAAGTGCGAAAATCTATGTAGATTCGTCAGCTCAACCATGAATTGACAGAGCATTAAAAAAGTACATTATTCTAAAAACATTTGGACTCGATACACGAAAACCAGGGATGGCAGCATCAGAGCATCGTCTAGTGTATGAATTGGTCCATTTGAAAAGGGTCTAGAATGTCGGACTAGGGGTAGAGCCGAAACCAGCCATCGGCTCTGTTTAAAAAGTGGCCCGAGAGCTGAAGAATCGAGCATCAGTTGTCCTATTCAATATGAATGCCGTCGTGGATTTCTTTGCCGCAACGGCGATGTGGTCACGGCCAGTTTCACATATTTCAATTGAATCGAAGCAGGTTGTAACGCAGTCACGCTTCAATGAGGAGACCATATCGAGTGCTACGCGATCTTGGCTGTCTGAGGGAGCAATCGAGTTATAAAAAAAGAGGCTCATTTGTGACGTCCGGGTTTCGTGGCGATTCTTGGCAGCTAACGTAACAATTTGAAAAGCAAATGATTATTGGGCAAGTGCTGCCTTTCTTGAAGATTTTCCGCAATAAATATTGTAGGTCACGCTGGCAGACGATAAGCTACTGTAAAATAGCGACTCACCCTAATGACGGCTAAATCAGATCGGCGGCGGAAGACAAAAACTACGAGTTGTTTACTTGTTGTTAACCGTAGCAAGGAGCGGCGTAAACAACAGTAATTACCAACGTGAACAACAGCGCAGGAATTAGACTGACAGCGAGTGCACGACGACAGACTAAGTCACATAGCGGCAACGTACACTGTTGGTCGGACGGAAACTAGAGGCTCAGGTTAAAGTGACCGAAAAATACACAATCGCCCATATGACGAGGGTAGCAGCCACGGCCAGAAACAAATAGTACGATATGAACTTTTGAGTGATGAGTCCATCGAAGTCATAGCCAGCGTGACTTCCGGTGTCGGGGTAGAAGTGTCGAAGTTCGCTGCCTCCTTTGCCATGCTCTTCGCAGAAGGTGGCAATCGAATCGGCTCTATGTCCCACGTCACAACCGGTGTTGTCGTGCGCAGATGGGTTCGTGTATGCTCTTCCAGCCGCACTCTCACTTCCACGATTCTGTAGGTTAATGACCGACAGAGGCACCTCGTTGGCGGCTTTAGTGCCGAAGGACGAGGACGAGCCGTGCGGCTTCACGACAGTCGATGCATCCATCGCCATGCCTGACGGTGATGACGAATGTGCCACCGCATCAGTACGGTGGAGCATCCAGTAATGACTTCTATTCGGATGGGTCGTCGTCGTCGTCATCGTCGTTGTCGTTGTTTCATTCTGCAAAACAGGTATGTTCAGGACATGACTGTAAATCGGAGGTTTTTGTCCTCCGCTGTCGGTCACACAACCGTTCTGCAGCCGATCTGCCATTGGAATCGGCATCGACGAGTAGGTCTGCATGACGGGCGACAGGATCGGTGGCCAAGACGGACGGACAACCGACGAGAAGCTCGATCTGGGTGACGGCTCAATCGCTTCGACGACTAATAAGATAGGGCGTCAGCTCCAGCTTCGTCATCAGCATCCATCCGACATCACCAGGAAACCTCAGGTCATCAGGTTCGCTGCGAGGTCAAACACGAAGACGTGACAGCACTGTTCGAACACAGCAGTGCTTCGTCCTCTTCGAATCATCGACTGAATCAAACATATCCCCACCCTTTGCAGCGTTACAGCCTATCTTTAGACAAGAACAACTGGCATTGAAAATAGGTCGGCATGCCGGCGGCCATTTGAACACCGTCGCTTGGTGTCGTCCGGTTCAGTCCGGTCCTTTCATATCCGATCCGATCCGATCCAGTCCAGTTTGGTCTGGTCTGGTCTGGTCTGGTCGGATCACAGAAGCGATCGTCGTCGACGACG